GTATAAAATATATACAGATTATAACATGCCTTAACCCTTCAATATGCAATATAAAATTTCGTCCATCAATTCATCTTGATTTGAAACACCCACATTTTGAATCCTCATAGTGGTGCATGGCATGAATATGAAAATGCATACGATTCCAGTTTTTATGAGTGAGTTATAAATTAAGTCTGATGTACTTAAAAAATGGATGTAATAAAATAAATTATTTGTTAATTACAATTAACTTACTTTTAAATCCAGCGCATAATAGAACATCTATGAATTTTAAAATTTTTCAAACAAAATTAGGTAAATTGAGTAGTTATCATAATAAAATAATTTTCTAAATGTTTGTAAAAACTACAAGTCGACATTCAAATGGAAATCAACGATAAATAAAAATACATTTGAAAATTATTGTTTTCGTGAAATTTTCAATTGGGTTAATGGTTATTAATGCATTAATCTTAAACATAATTTGAGAATACACAATATACCTACATTAACCTTTTAATTTCTTTAAATACTTCATCATCATTCATCATCTTCTTATTATCATTCTTCTTCTTCGTCGAATTTATCAAGCCACTGAACCGTCTTGTTTCACGACCATTTCACTAGCCATCTAAACCTAATACCATAGTCTTCCAATTGGATACGCCTCTTAATGCTTCCAAGGCAACCTTCAGCCTTCACTGTGTCTCCCCCCCTTATTTTTGGTTTTACCAGGGATCTTTTTCCTTCCAAATTCTATTAACTAGTAATAGTACATATTGAGTTTCGTCTTTTCATTGCCAGCCCACCCTTTATGATGTCTATGATCTTTTCGCTGAATATTGTTTATTTTAACTCTCCAGTTTTTCGTCGTCATCCGCTTTACTGTTATATCATCATTCATTGGCACAAAAATACCAGTACAATTTGTTTATGTACGAATTTAAAATTCTTTATTTCAGAACTATTCTAAGTTACTATTTATTTTTAAATAAAAATATTACCTCTACATTTTTCTAAAAGAAAAATTATTTTTATCAGTCTGCTTGTGTATTTATTACAAATTACGTAAATTATTAAAAATATTTAATCGTTTGTCCGATTATTTTATATATCTACATCGTTTTATATTTTTTCAACTACCTATAATAGTTTTCATCTAAACCAGGACCCAGCAACCTATTTGATGTCGAGCGTCGAAAAAAATATAGCTATACATTTTTCACAGGCAACAATTTATATATTATACTTTATTTTATTTTAAACAAGAAGGTATTACAATATCAAATTCAATTTATTTAAGTTCACAACTTACGGTTGGGATTATTAATATAACATGGTATTAACATACAAACAACGTTTTAATTCGCAGTTTCCAATCCATACTATCTTAATTCGTGATTTTTATACAGAAAATTAATTTTACTTGAAGGCCTCATTAAATCATTACGAGGTCCACATGCGGGTTACTGACCCTTAAACTTAACTTATGAAGGAAAATATGTTTTCAGTTATTGTTGATAATATACATTTAAAAAATGTATACATTTATCGTATTCTTAACCCCACTACACAGTACACACATTAGTTTATAGGGGTTTAGTAACCTTTCATGTAATTATTATATTGATTGTATTTATGTTTGGCTACAATACAATTGTTAGCATTACTTTGTAAATTGATTGTTATTTGACAACAAAAAAATAAAATTTCAATAGGTATGTCAAATAAATGTTTTAAATATTATGACATTTGTAATAACATACTACTAGTTTAGCGGTTATATACTGGAATAAGTTAATACAAACGTTATGTCAGAATAGTTAATCTTTCCTCCGAAATAATAAAAAATACATTTTTAAGCCATCTCTTGGTTAAATTGAAAAGTAAAAAATAGTTCTGTTTGTCTTTAAATTATCATATACCTTATGTCAAGCCTGGGCATACACGATTTAAAAAGTTATGGTCAAATTAATTTTAACTTTTTAAAATTTAATTTTCATTAACTTAATTTTTAACTTAATTGATTTTATTTGATATACAATTATAAACATAATACATAACGAGTTCCTATTAATAAAATCCAAGCTACATTAATTTATAAATAATTAAAGAATAAATATAATACAATAATTATTGTTGATGATGCATATTGCATTAACATTTACTGTATATTTACTAGCTATTAATATATTAAAAAAAATAATAATAAAAGAGTCAAAAAAAGAATCAGGATAGCCTTTTACATTAAAACTTTTAAAATGTATAAATGAACTTAACTCAGTTAAAAATTATCATTAACTTGCCCAGGCTTGCCTAAAAACAATACTCGGTTTTTAATATTTTAAATTATTTCTTAATTATTACAACATAAATCATTTCTGATAAATATCAATAAAATAAAAACTTTAACACAATTAATATCATAATTTCAAATCAATAAATTAATCCTTACCACGTAATACTATTTCATCTTCTAATGCAGCTGTAGACATTACCCATAATGCAATTACTATACATGAAAACGTTATTAAATACTGCTTAAAAAAGTTCATTTTTATTTCATGTAAGTAAACTATAAAAAAATTATAAGAATGTTGAATAAGAAATGGAATAAAATATGACTCCTATAGGTTTCTTTTATACTCGTCATGTTTCCCACCATACCTACTTTCTCGGCTCAAAGTATGTATAATGTTCACAATAAGTTGTTGACTTAGTAACAACTAGTATTGGTTTCGATCGAACAAACTGAATAAATTGCAAGCATCTGTTGGAGATGCCCAAAGAGCCTCTTCGCCATGTTTAATAATCATACACATTATTTACTCAAGTGATCTAAAATAGAAAAATAACAGTAATGTAGGTAGGGCCACAAAAAATGAGATTTCAACAAAAAATAAATCTAAAAAAAACGATTTTTTTTTTATTGATCTAAAGCACGACAACTATGGCCTTTAGCTGTTTGTAGGGGGAAACGGTTGATTTGAAACACCTATCCGAGTACTAGCAACGATGGCCGGTACATACACTCAGAGCGTTGCCGCAGACGGAGCGCACGACCGCGCCTCACCAAGCCACAAAACAAAAAAAAACAATTTATATGAGTTAATTACTTACAATATTTTAAAACTTTAAATAATTACACAACTATAGCAAAACTACTTAAAAATAATTTCGTGACTTTCATGAACATTTGCAAACTTGTTTATTATTTCATCAATGTCTAGTGACTACTTAAAGTTTTTCAATTGATATGATGCTGTATACCACGATAGGTTTAAAAATTAAAATTCGGCGTATACACGATAAAGCAGTGGTTTACAATATATTTTTGAAACTTAGTAGGTACACAGTTTGGGAACCGCTGTACATTGATTGTATATACGCTCGGCAGTTTCCGATCGTCTTCGCAAGAACCCGAAGTCGGGTAAAATTTAATAAATTTATTTCTTGAGGCCTGAGGGTACGAGGCTATTTTTGGACAGTGCGTACGTGTGTTCGTAATGTTATAATACAATATTATTGTATTAATTTGTATATTATTATTTTTAACTTTTGTTTGGTGATTGACTGAATTGACTGATGATAAATTGGAAGCGTGCGTATTACCCATGAAAGACTAATTGTCTTAAAGGTATACGCATAAATCCAAAAATAGGGATCCGGGTAGCATATAAGCATTCTAGGGTCTGTTTTGGCACCTGTGTGCAAATACGCATTTTCATTGGTCGATTTTAAATTTAATTTTCGTTGAAATAGCTTATTTTGCTTCCAGATGCTGTATGAATTGGTAGACTAGTTGTGTAGAGAGCCTCATCAACGCTTCAGGTACCGGATTCGGATACTCCATGTGCGAAAATTTATTTTGCACTTTTTTTGCAATTGTTTTTATGAGTGATAAGCACTTGTCCGATGCGACGGTTACATGTGACCAACTTGAGGTGGTGGTGTTGCGCAGCAAGTCGAGGGATATTTTCGATTAGCGGAGCGGAGTGACGGCGCTGAGGAGCGTAGCGACTAGTGCCGCTAGCACAGCATCACCGACTTATTTATGATAAGCCAGCCAAATATAATTTGAGAGATAAGAGACGTTGTTTCTAGACCATAGATCATATACACTGGATAGAGCTATGATTTAAAATCTTGAAGCATAGCTGTTCGTACCCGAAGTCATCACTGCGCATGAGCAAAGTATATGATATCAGCATTCAGTGCCTTATCGTCCTTATCATTATAACACATTATTGTTCCTCCTCCGTCCCGCGCAATCTATTTCATTTCTCACGCATGCGCAATAAGTACTTCGGGCATGACAGGTCTGCTTCAAACACGAACTACGCGTGATATACGCTATAGCTCTATCCAGTGTATATGATCTAAGTTCTAGACCAGGGGTGTCCAACTTGCAAGGCCTCAAGGGCCAAAACTTAAACCTCTGATCTGGTTGCGGGCCATACACTAATTTTGTTAAAGTAACAACAAAATAATGAGAGGTATAAAAATAATTAAAACAAAAAAGTAGTATTATTTCTTTTATTGCTCAACATCTAAATTTTTTATACATACAGAAAATGTAGAGGTAGTTTTTTAAAGAACTAAGACAAACATTGTAATAATAATGAAAATATATCTAATGTGAAGACTGTGGTCGATCGGCTTCATTCACCAATGAAGAAATGTCCACTGCCAGTTCAGTTGTAGACAGTCTCATGAGATGACGTAAAGTAGAATCGGTAAGGTTGCTTCTGTTGGGGTTTTTAATGNGTAGAATCGGTAAGGTTGCTTCTGTTGGGGTTTTTAATGTATTTCATGTAGGAAAAGGCACTTTCACATATATATGTGCTTCCGAACATTGATGTCATTTTCAGTACAAAATCTCGCAGGTTTGGGAATTTCTCCTTAGACAGCAATTAAAAAAATTCAGGTCCCTTTTCTTGTCTGGTGATTAGGAACATGTCAGCTTGAAGGTCACATAACTCAAGTTGTAAGTCAGGTGGTTGATCTTCAATAAATGCTCAAAGAGGATTATTATAAAGCAGTACACTGCTTTTGAGACTTTCAATATCTTTAAATCGTGTATTGAATTCATTAATAACTTGTTGAATTTGTGAACTGCAGCATGAAAAGTCAATATTTTTCTCACTGTTGGGTTCTTCTGCTAGATTCAGGCAGCTAGGGAAGTGTGTTAGGTTGTTCTTTTCCAAAGCATGTTTAAACACGTTTAGCTTATTCCGGAATCCGTTTATTATTCCGACCAAATCTGAAACCGTCTGGTTTCTTCCTTGAAGACTCAAGTTTAAACTGTTAAGGTGATAAGTCAGATATGTTATAAAAGCTAACTGTCTTAAGAATTCTGGATCCTGAAACTTCTCTTCCAGTTCAGTTGTATCGGATGAAACGTATTTATTAAGAAATGGAGGGATTTCCTTTCTTATGGCAAAAAATCGTTCCATGCACTTTCCTGCACTCAGCCACCTTACATGGTTGTACATTAGCAAGTCTCCATACTCAGCCTCTGTGTCCACTAAAAACTGCCTAAGTTGCCTGTGTAAAAGGGATCGATTTCCACCTCTTATCATATTTATAATTTTAATCATGGTCTGAAAAACTTGACCCTGCTTGACTGATTTTCCACATAAGCTCCCTGATGTATAATACAATGTATTGTCGGAAAAGTAACACCATTCTCTCGAAGCAGACCCACTAATCCAGTTTTTTTACCAGTCATTGATGGGGCCCCGTCTGTTGCTATGGCTGAACATTTTTTAAAGCCTCCAATTCTGTCAACTGTTTTCTTCAGAGCCTCATAGACGTCTTTTCCTTTTGTTGTTCCATAAAGAGGACAAATATCAAATAGCTCCTCTTTACTAGTAAAATCTTCAAAAGTAATGCGCACGAATATCAACAGCTGACTAACATCTGATTGATCAGTGCTTTCATCCAGACAAAGTGAGAAATAAAAACTTTTTTTAACCAGGCTAAGCATAGAGTTTTCTACTTGCTCACCCATAGCAACAACCCTTCTTTGTATGGTTTGATGTGAAAGTTGCACTGATTCAAATTTCTCTGCCATTTTGGAATCTTCAAAAGCTTTGGCCATTTCAACGGCACATTTTTTAATTAAATTGGCATCAGTGAAAGGTTTTTTTGCCTTTGCCAGCTAATAAATCCATAAGATGCATGCAAAGAATGCGTTTGAGATCGCAATATTTTACTAAACATACCAGTTTGCTGTTTAAGCTTTTTCTTCAAATCTGCAACTAACGCAAGACGACTTTCATTTGTATACGTAGCATACTTCTTTTCATGCATTGTTGTGTAGTGTCTTCTCACATTATATTCTTTAGGCACAGAAACAATATTCATGCACACTAAACACTGCAACTTTCCATTATTGTTAGCAATCAAGT